CATCGGTGAGATGGGGCGCTGTCTGAACGATCGCCTTAGGGAGCACGCAAATCTGATGCGCAGATCAGTGGGCAGCCACTTGCCAAGTCACTGTGCGAATTGAGGGTGCACCCCCAAGTTTGATGAATGCCAAGTAATGGCAAGATATAAGCACCAGAGGGCACGGGAAATATATGAGGCTTTTTTTATTCGTAAAGCAAGAACAGAGCGTGACAGTGTCCCGTCCGTAAATCTGTTAGATAAGGAATACGAGTATCTTTTCAGTTAAGTTGACAATTAAAGATTGGAATAAGGTGGTCTCGTGCATGCGCTATCATTTGTCTTTTCTTCTGTGTGTGATCTCCTCACCCTCTTAACTGTATATATATTCCCACCATCTGTGCAATAAAATTGATTGTAAGTGTGCGCTAAGTCCTATCTCACTGAGTCCTATCTCACTAAGTCCTATCACATCTTCTTTCTCAAACGTTCCCTGCACACTAAGAAAAGTAAATTTCTTTCAATATACAATACCAACCAGCCCAAGTAGCCACTCTTTTGTACACGACGCCCTTGATTCCCTTCATGGCGCGCGGTGGTTCAAGTGGTCCATATGCCTCTGCTACCTGGACAATGTCGTTTTTTCCCCGACTTTCACCAGTCACCTGCAACGCTTGTCGGCTATTTTGCAAGTCTTTCGCACCGCTGGTCTTCAACTCAACTCTTCAAAATGCCGCTTTGGCTGCCGAGAAATCACCGTGCTCAACCATGTAGTTGACGCTGCCAGTATACGACCTGATTCCACAAAAGGACGCACTATCACCAATTTCCCTATTCCACGTTCTTCCAAGGACGTTCGCTCGTTTTTCGGCCTGTGCTGGTATTTTCGCCGCTTTGTTAACGATTTCGCAGTCATTGCGCAGCCCCTCACATGTCTTGTGAAATAAGACATCCCTTTCTCTTGTGGAGCCGACAAAGCGTCGGCTTTTTCCCATCTCGTCGACCGACTCACGTCGCCCCCTGTGTCGGCCCATTTCGAAGACTCTACGCCTACCGAAGTACGCACCAATGCCAGTGGTCATGGTATCGGTGCCGTCCTTGGCCAAAATCAACAAGGTCACGACTGCGTCATTGCTTACGCCAGCCACCTCCTCTACGCAGCTGAGCGGAACTATTCTATAATTGAGAAACAGCCCCTTGCTCTTGTTAGGGCTGACGGGAAATTTCGTCACTATCTTTACGGCAGACCCTTTACCGTGGTAAGAAATCACCACATCTTGTGTTGGCTGCCTCCACTCAAGGATCCGGCTAGTCGGCTTGGTCGTAGGGCACTACGACTTCAAGAGTACACGTTCACTTTTGTCTACAAGTCTGGCCGCTTGCATCAAGACGCTGACTGTCTGTCCAGTTATCCCGTCGACCCGACCAGACTCTTCGGCGAACGATACCATTCCGTTTGTGCTTGCTATAACTGACCTGTTCAACATTTCTGCTGAGCAACGACATGACCCGACTCTTCGCAACATTATCGACCGCCTCAACTCTACAGCTACCGATTCATACCCTTCGTCTTTCCGTGTTATGCGACGGCACCTAGCAATGTCGTAGTCTGATACCGATGGTCCTGACTTCTTGCTTGTGATTCCGGTACACCTTCGTTTGACTGTTCTGGCCCAGCTTTACGACATGCCAATGGCGGGGTACCTCGGCGTTTCCCGCACCTACGATCGTGCACGCCGTCGGTTCTACTGGCCAGGAATGTATTGGTCAGTACGTGACCTCGTGCTATCTTTGTCAGCGCCGGAAGAAGTCAATACTCCCACCTGCCGGCTGTCTTCAATCACTCAACGTTCTATACGGACTGTTTCATCATGTCGACTTCGACTTGCTTGGTCCGTTCCCTAGGTCTGTCTCAGGAAATCGATGGATTGCCGTTGCCACGGACTATGCCACAAGGTTCGCATCGCGCACTTTTCACCAGCTGTGAGGCCGACGTAGCAGACTTCTTGCTCCACAATGTCATCCTTCAGCACAAAGCACTGCGGCAGCGTCTGACGGACCATGGAAGGCAGTTTCTATCTCGGGTCATCAGTGATATTTTAATGTCTTGCTCGACCAAACATAAGCTAACCACAACCTACCATTCACAGACAAATGGCTTGATGGAGCGGATGAACCAAACCGTTACTGACATGCTGGCAACGTACATGTCTGCCGACCACCAAGATTGGGATGCACCGTTGTCTTTTGTAACATTCGCCTACAATATGTCGCGGCACGAGACGGCGGGCTATTCGCCTTTCTTTCTTTTATTTGGCTGAAATTTCTTTTATTTGGCCGCCTTTCTTTTATTTGGACATACTCACCCACTGAATATGCTCCAGAAGCTATAGCTTGCACCAACCATGCATGTCAACTTGCGCGTGTTTGGCTAACTGACTCGCAGGCGGGCCGAAAATCTCGTTATGACAGCCATCACCGAAATGCCTACTTTCCCCCAGGATCTCTTGTCCTCCTGTGGTCTCCAGCACGCCCAATCGGGCTTTCTGAGAAGCTACTGCTCCCCTATTCCGGGCCATATCATGTGCGCCGCCAAGGGACCGACGTCATGTATGAAATCGAGCAAGTGTCTTCCTCTTCGTCTACGACATCCCGCATGAACATCGTTCACATTGTCCATCTGAAGCTTTACCTTACACCGGACTCCCCTAACACACATGTATAGTGACCATCTTCACTACCGTCTTTCTCCTGCTGCACTGAGTTGGTGAATTCGCCGCCAGAGGGTAATGTTATGTGCCGCTCACCTAGAGAACGAAGAATAGGAGGACTAGGTGGTGCCTGCTCTCGCAATCTTGGTTGTTTTTGTCATCACTACTGTGGACTGTAAACATTATGCCCTTTTCTGTCATCCTCCCCGTAACAATATAAAGAAGACACAAAAGAAAGAAACAAACAGAGCGAGACGGTCACAGAGTTGTGGAGTCCTCGGCTGTCGGCGGTAGCCAAGTGGCGCACGTGCAGTGCCCATGCAACACCCCCTCCTCCAGAAACAGCGCGCGCTTGGCGCACCTCAGGTTTGCGCGCATTGCTGGAGGATGCGTGGCGGGAGCTTTGAACAGCTGCCGTTGTCGCGTTGTGCACCATCTCAAATTCGCGTTGTGCACTGTTGTGAGGTCAGCTCAGAATTTGATTTCCTAGCAAAATCTGTTCCGTTATATCCCATCACCAGCAAGTCTTACGTCTTTAGAATGAGGTTTTAAATACTTTGGTTTTTATGGGGACTTTGAAGAGGAATTACGATTTGCTCGTTATATCCATTATTTCGTTATAACCCGTCTCCTTATAACGTGGTTTAACTGTATTGCAACATGAAATATTGCAGGGCGTCAGAATATGCGATTATCATAATGGCTACGTGGTTTAAAGCAGGTAGCCCACTACAAAAAGCCCACACGCAACTGCACGTATCCTCATAAAGGGACACTAAAGGCAACTAAGTCGACATTGATTGCTGAAATAGTGATCCAAAAACCTCGTAGTGTTACTTGTGTCCCAAGGAAGGACTTATTTTGAAATAAGACCACGTTTTGTGGCCCGACTCGCGTCACTGTTGCTGTGTACAATATTTCCTGCCTTTACTGCGCGGTCGCCGACGCTAGTAGGCAAAACGAAAGCAGCGAGAGCCACAGCAAGAACAACGGCGATTGATTAATATCCTGCCATTCGCTCCGAGATGGCGGATTTGTTTTGGTTGAACTGCGCCCCGCTAGATGGCACGACCTGTCCAGTTAAACCGCGCAAATATTCAATTTTTTAACCACTCGTGCCATTCTCTATAGTAACGTCCGGAGGTTCTTTTCTAAATAAATCAAACAAAAACAAACAAGTAGCATTTTATTGAGTCTCTTGATACACGGAAGCTTCTTTATTTAGTGCAGCTAGATCGATTACTAGTGATTAAATGTAGGTGGTTCATCTGACGTCATCAGTATCATTTTGAGAATGTCTAATTGTGACGCATGTATTCTTGTGCTTTTACTTTATTTCTCGGTAAGTAGGGCCCTGCTGTTGATAATATTGTCGTTTTAGATGTTGCCTTACATTGAGCTTTCACTCTGATGTAAATTGTTATTTTGCTTTAGTGTCCCTTTGACTTTAGACCATGTAGTGGGTGTATATAGAAAATTCGAACAAGTTTCATGCACCAAGAGTTTGCGGTACACACTACGAACAGAATATCGCTGTTGCATACAACTCCAAAATGCGAAGCTTTAGGGTCCCCTAATTTTTTTATATATTTTTATTTATTTTATTTATCAAATACTGCAAACACGCAGTCCAAGCAGGGAGGGCAATAAAATGGTTCAACAGTGAACATGTTGAAAACAAAAATAACAAATGAAACAAGAACACTAATACAGAAATTGAATCAATATGTTTGGTGAAACGTTATACGAACAAATCAATAATAATCAGCACTATGGAGTCTATTCGATAATACAATTTCATTTGGTTATTGCAAGAGAAAAAACAAGTTCTTAAACTTGTTCATTCTCGCGAAGTAGGGTGTTAATGCATCTTTTCTACGATGGCCAGTGGTTCGGGTTAATAGGGAAACAAGGATAGGGCTTCCCCCATAAAAACTCTGACCACCACACAGCACAGGCAGTGTTGCAATGTTTGAGAAACATCACGATTATTTTATACTATTCTAATAAATGGTGTGCATGTCTGGAGTAGGCAAGTTTCTAATGGCGCTAACGCAAGCCCCAGTAATAACGCTGAATTTTCTATCTTCCATGCATAAACGTCGACACATTCCACTGATGGAGAGTTTTTCAGAGATCGATGCTTGGGCTCACTTTTATAGTAACACTCTGAGTGTTAGTTCTTATTTCTGTACATGACCTTGCCTAATAAAGTATTCATATTTACTGGCTTTGCATCCCTCACTGTCACAACCACCTTATCCTTTGAAAGAGAGACAGTGCTGCCAGTCAAAGCAATAGACAACACACCTTCATGGGTCGCTTGAGGGCCTCCTGAATGTCTAGGCGTTTCCGCATTATGGTGAAGTCCAGCTTGCGCTCAAAGGCCAGCAAATCCATGTAGGCTTGCGACTCAGGCACCAGATCACGCACCCGTGGTGGAAGAATTTTATCAGCCAACTTCTTTTTCTTCTTTGCTGAAGGAGGAGCTACAGGAGTGGTTCCAGCCACAGTGGGGGGACCAGTCGCCCCTCCTCCCAAACCCCTGCACAGCATCAACGGATACAATCTGTAAGAGCACGCTCTCTGCGAATGTACGCCTCTCCTGCATCAAGTGATGATAGTAAACCACGCAGGAGGAAGGCATGGTGCATGTAAAGTACAAGCAACAGCTGACTACTTTCCTAACAAAACAGCACTGTCAAGCACACCCACACAGCAACCCTTTGCAGGCTCTCACTTCCCACAGCTGCCAATACAAATGCGTACAAACGGAGTTTCTTTAGATGTGAAGCAGGTCTCTGACTAGGCTGTGTAACGCTGTCCCCGAGTTGCCAGTTCCCCTTATTAAAAGCCGATATGGGCTTGTTTTTCCGCTGAGACGCACGAGAGGGAGTGAGAAATAACTTTATGTAAGTGAAAAAAATTCAGAGAGGAATGGAAGTCACGCCGTGCCTGGTTGCCACCTCTTCAGCTCGCTCTATGGCCCGGAGCTGTACTTCTAGGCTCGTATCGCGGAGTACACTTTCCCACGTCTCGGATGAGGGAGTGGTCAAGAGATCAGGCTGCAGTCCCATAGTATATGAAAGAGGGAGGCGACGGAGCCACATTTTGAGTAATGCGAACTGAACAGATTGGGTAAATGTGTGCCTATACCCGCAGGCACAGGAAGGAGTTCGTTTGGAGGCGAGCTTGGGATGCGGCGTTGGTTTTGTTCGACGCGCGAGGTGATAGTGCTGAGTGATTTCATGATAGGATATGAGGGGCCACTGATGTTCTCTGGGTTCTTGACGGGGCCCACTGCTCAGTTGACGAATTCTCAAGCTTGTCGGTGGGCAGCCTCATTTCCCGGGCTTCCTGCGTGCGCGGGGACCCAGAAGAGAGATATGGGACGCGGATCCTCGTCTTTGAGGTAGGCAGGAGACTGAAGGAGTCATAAGGTACCGGGAGCAACGGTACCGTGAGCGAAATGGGAGATAGGGGTTTTCGAGTCGCTGAAGATTGTAGTGAACCCGGAGAACACCGCGAAAGCCATAGCCGCTTCCTCGACTTCGGCGGGGTGGAGGGCACGGACAGAGCCGGTTACTCGCGAGATTGCGTTGGTGTTGAGGGGGGTTCAAGTAGATATTTTGATAAGTGCGTACGCGCTTGGTTGAGAGAGGTAGCGGGCCGCATCCACGTAAGCCACATCGCGTCGCGAGGCGTAGTTGTCGTGTAAGGATTGGGCTCACGCTCGCCAACTGCCGTCGTGGTGTCCTGCGTGCATGCGTTTTCGGCAGTATAGAGGCCACGTCTGCGCTCGATGGCGAGGCGTTTGGTCCTATGAGAGCGAGCCAAAGCGATCGACGACCAAAGGAGTAAGCGTCTACCCTTTGTTATCTTCCTAGAGCGGACAGTCCTTCCACGTGACATTTACGGGTTATTGCTATTGAAGCAATCAAGTGTTCTTTTGTTGACCTAGTCTGTTGCCTTATTCGCCCGAACCGATGTAGATGACTTAAGCTATGGAAAGGGGACGTTAATCGTGCATGGTACAGCTGTATACGGCTAGAACATTAGCAAGACTTCTGCGTCAGTTGTACTAGGGCAGACCCCTTCGTCTGGCCCCAAACGTGGGGCCAATTTGGCAACACGGCTAGTTTTGCGGATGCAAGCGACTACCGATGCTCCTCCAAACGTAGGACAACAGGCATGTCAGAATTCCAAGATTTGTTCGTGTTGTGTGATGTCGTGTCGCAGAGTTGCGATCCTTTGGCTTAACACAAGGGCATTGTTCGGACTTTCCGATAACGTTGATTCTGGTTGTTTCACGCAGGATGACCAGGAGGTTGGAGAAACCATCTTAGCAGAGACTAGGCCTATAATAGAAAGTGCCACGCCGGGCACACCATCACCTCAATTTGCGAACGAGGCGCCGCCACAAGTTGCTTCGACATATGCCACAACGGTAGGCGTGTCTTCGGCCAATAGTTTGCCTTCAAGTGAGATACTCTTGCAGAATGCGGTGTTGGTTATGCAAAGCCTGGTAAGCACCCTGCAAGAACACGGCATAGGCCCCTCTGAAGAATGCGCGACCACGTGTCAAGGTAGACATACCTACCTACACTGGCTACCATGACTGCAAGAACGCCAATGAGTATCTCACATGGTTGTTCCACTATCAGCAGGCAACAGGGCTTTCTGATGTCGAACTTCCCGAGTGCAGGGTCCCGGCGTCGCTCACAGAGCAAGCGGCTCGATGGTTCCAACTTACTGGGCATCACGCCCGCACGGTAGAAAAGTTCCGTGACAGCTTCTGCGGCGACTACCTTCCGGCTAATTATGAGTGGCGATGTCTGAGGGAGTTAGAACTATGCACCCAGCATCCGGACGAATACTTGCTGGAGTATGTACAGGCGATGGACGAACTGTATCGTCTCGCTAACTCTCACAACCAACGCAGAAAAAGTCGAGCACGATTACGACAAGCGCACCTAACTTTTGCGGCGCACTTCAGGAGATGCAAGTACACAGACCTGAAAGAGCTCGCCACCAAAGTGAAGCACGTAGAAGGGGACATCCTCGCAGCGCGAGCATATCACCCGCGCTGTGAGAATATGGGTTCTGCCAGCAGTGCAGTCAGTCAAGCCTGGCTGCGCGCAGAATGATGGCGCAGTAGCTTCAGAGGCGTTTATGGGTAATGCGGCAGGATCGTTTGCTGATGAGCACGTACCATGCTGTTGGGAGCTGTCAGACCACACTTTAGACCACTATACTTACGCACGCGCTATGTACAGCCCTTGCCACTCTCGCACGTGACATTCCACGGCAGGAGCGTGCAGTCGGCACGAGGACAGTCGAGCGGCGCAACCCTGAGCTAGGCGACTTACCATCAAGCTGACGTGATTTCTGCGGTCCATGCTATCAGTGTTGCACGCCAGGGCACATTGTCCACGAATGCGACCGCACACCGGGTCAGGAGCAAACGCACGGTTTGGGAAACAGATGGCGCTGCCGGTGAACCACATTGTACAGCGCATGTCGACGAGTAATTTAACCGAGCCGTACGGATTACTTACACCCTCAGTCAGTCAAACAGGTGATGCCGTAGACTTGCCCGCACTGCTAATCGAGTTAAGGATAGCTCGAAAGACGTTTGCAGCACTTTTGGACACTGGGGCAAGCGCTTATTTAATTGGAGAAAATGTGTTGCGAGAGCAATATCGGCTTGAGACAAAGCAACACCATCTTCCACCTTGCTATGGCCACGTATAGCGCAATCAAGCGGCATGGCTAAGCTAGTGATCTGCTGGGACAGATGCGCGAGGTGACAACATTTTGTGCGTCTTCCTGGGCTGTCAATGTCTCTAATCCTAAGTCGAGACTTCACCAAGTCGGGTATTGTCATTGACAATGCAAACGGCGGTTACCAAGAGCATGATGGAGACGCACTTTTTCTAGAAGGCCCCCACATTGACAAAGACATGCTAATCGCTGGGAGAGGTGCGAGTAACTACTTCGCCTGAACAATGTGTCACGTGACAGGGAAGGTCAGTGCACCTGCTCTTGGTAGAAGCACAGAGCCTGCCAGAAGGGAGAAAAGCAGAGCTGTCGTCGCTGCTGTACGAGTATGAGGCAATGTTCACTGACCACCCAGGCTGCACTACGCTGGTCAAGCACAGAATTGACACGGGTCATGCATGACCTTGTAAATGCAATCCCCAATTGGTCAGCTTGGCTAAGCGGAAAGCACTAGACGCCGCCTTGCGAACTCATCGACACAGATGTACAGTAGAATCTCGATGATACGAATTTGAAGGGAGCACAGAAAATATCTACTTCCGGTGTTATCAGCAATCGTAATTCAAACCAGGCTCTCGACGACCTCGTCCTTGTCAAGGCCGTGAGCTTCGATGTGTCGTGCGGGTAGTTCGCGATAGCGTTGACGCGACCCATCGCCAATGCCTTTGCCGCCACGTTAATTTGCGGCTGGTTATTGACATCACATGGTTTGAGAGATAGAGCAGCCGGTGAAGCCAAAGCTGTGAAGAAGAAAGGCTTCTTCACGGCTTCCTGCTATCGCGCACCAGGAAAATTGGTCTTAGATCAACTTTTTCGCGTCGGCCTTGTATCGGGCATCATCATGAAGGCGTGTTGACAGTGTTATCCTGTTGTGACGTTGATACCATGATCCGTGCGGTTATCACTGAAATGGCCTCGCCCCCTTCGCCTATATCAAGACATGTCAATAAACCCTGCCGTTCTTCTTGTTCCCGTCAACATGTAGTTGCCTCTGTCCTTTGTCAGACGCGCGACGTGTTACATGGTGTCAGAAGTGGGATACCAGCAACAACGATGAAACTTCTAAAAACTCCGCCCCCCCCTTGCGACTGACTAGAAACCTCTCGGAAAATTGTAGACGATTCAGAGGTTCCTCCTATACCTGCAGGCGAGCGACTACAACGAAGGAGCATCCTTGAAGCGAAGCTGCAAAAGTGGCGCTGCTGCTAAGCGTTGTCGGTTCGACGTGTTTAACACGTTTAAGGGAAGATGTGTGTTGAAAAACACGAGTTTTTTTTTCAAAATTACTGATCTTTCATTTTCATTTGTTTTGACAAGATTAGTACCTCTACTGTTATAAAAAAATAATAAAGGTCGAGACTTGACTGGAAATGCTTTAAAATTGCATTTAAAGAGCACAAGGTGCCTATTAAAGGTCGGAAGTATGCAGTCTTCGAGCACCTTCCTGCCGATAATGCGCCACCGCTCGCCGTTGTTGATCGCATGAGTCGAAATGTCGAGCCTCACTCTTCAAATACCAACAGTTTCTCTCGCTGATGCAGCACAAAAAATAATGAAAAGAAGCACTCTTCTGCATGTTTTTTGAGCACCGCGACTGGCTTATCACATGGTACGAACCGGGGACCGCCATTGGCCGCTGCGCGCCTGTATGTGCTGTGAAACCTATTTGCAGGGTTCATGTCTTGCCGAGCAGCGCAGCTGAACACTGATCTTTTTGTGTAATTATCTTCATTATGAATGAAACAAATCTTTGCTCGCAAGTAA